AACCTAACGAGGGATAAAAGCTAGAGGGTAAATGGAAAGAGGAATGAAACTAATATCGATGAACATTAATGGATTAAATGACCTACCTAAGAGGAAGAGAATATTTTTCAAATTAGAGAAGTAGAGAGCCAATATAATATGCCTCCAAGAGGTTCATATTAAAGAACAGGTTCAAAGCTATCTACAAAATAAAAGATTGGGGGAAACGTATACAACATTAGCAGAGGAAAAAAAAAGAGAAGTGGTACTGTATAGTAAAGAGGAAATAACCTCAAAATTGATTTATAACAATACAGTGGGGAGAATATTAATGGTAGAGGTGGTCCTACAAAATAAAAGCATGCTGTTAGTGGGGATATATGCCCCTAATAAAAATCAGAATGAATTTTATAAAACTTTATATGAGAAATTGATAGAAATTGGCAACCCAAGAATTTGTATATTTGGAGACTACAATGCAATTGCAAATAACAATCAAGATTATGCATGTGAACAAAAGCATAAAAAAAAACCCAGAATATATTCCCCTAAAGTTTTTTTGAGATGGCCGAAGAACTAGAATTAGTGGATGCTTGGAGGAAGCTAAACCCAGGGGTGTCTCAGTTCACTTTCTTCTTCGGTCTGCATAAATCATGGTCTAGATTGAATATGGCATGGGTAAATAGTGACTTATTTAAGGAGATCCAGCGAATAAAGATTTTAACTAACACCTGGGCAGACCACAACCCGCTACAGATAGATTGGAAGGACCGAATCTATAAGAAAAGTAGATGGACACTTAATTCGCAACCATTGAAAGAAAAAAGTTACACCCAAAAAATTAGGGAAGAATTGGTTATTTTGAATTGAATAAAAAACAGGATACCTCATTGCAGAATCTCTGGGACACAACAAAGGCGTATTTAAGGGAAATATCTATAGCATATATAGCAAATAGAAATAAAAAAAGATGGGAAAAACAAAATACCCTAATAAAAAAATAGAGGATTTGGAGAACAGACAAATGGAAACTCCGGGAGATGAGCAAATTAGAAATGAGCTGGCGCTAGCAAAGCATAAAATGAACATTTTAGATCAGGAAGAATTAATTAAGAAGCTACAATATACAAAACAAAATTATTTCAAACATGCAAATAAACCTGGTTGATGGCTAGCGTATAAATTAAAAAAAGAAAATCAGAAAAGAACAATATACCAATTAGTGAACAAAAATGGAGTAATAGAGACTAAATTGGAAAAAAAGAAGGTAATTGTAAGAGAGTATTTTGAGAATTTATATAAACAAGATAAAGTAGATTTAAACAAAATAGAAGAATATTTGAAAGAAGGAGCTATACATCCACTATCAGAGGATAAGGAGTTACTTAATAAAGAAATAACCTTGAGTGAACTAAAAGAGGCGATCAAAAAACAAAAGAACAATAAAGCCCCAGGCTCAGACAGTTTTCCAAGTGAGTTATATAAAGAGATAGGAGAGGTATTAAAGAATGTGTTGCTAGAGATCTGCAATGAGGTATTACTGAAAGCTAAAATTCCAGAATCATGGAAGGAAGCGTATATAACACTAATCCCCAAAGAGGATGCAGACGCCAATCAAATAAAGAACTATAGACCAATATCTCTTCTAAACTCAGGCTATAAAATTTTCATGACTATAATGGCAGAAAGACTAAAAAAAGTGCTCAACAACAAAATTAACCCTGACCAAAATGGATTCCTTTCCACAAGACAGATTAGGTATAATACGAGAATGATAACAGATATATTAGAATTTTATGAACTGCACCCAGGAAATCAAGTGGCCCTTGTCTTCTTGGATGCACAAAAGGCCTTTGATAACCTCAACTGGGATTTTATGAAACACCAGATTAACTTGATGAAATTTGGTGGTAATTTTGCAAATACGCTATATTCAATTTATGCCACACAAAAGGCAAACGTACTGATAAATGGAGAAGCTACCAAACCATTTGAGATAAAGAAGGGCATCAGGCAGGGATGCCCGTTGTCACCAGCAGAGGTGAAGAGCAGACTTCATAACAATCCTAGAAACATTATTGGACAGAATTAGATCAAACAAAGAAATTAAGGGAACAAAAATTAATAATCAAGAGTACAAATTACAAGCATTTACGGATGACATGATATTTGTCATAGAAGAACCAATAGATTTGGGACCAGTATTATTAAATGAAATAGACAAATTTGGTAAATTGGCAGGATTACAAATTAATAGGGAAAAGACCAAAATGTTAGATAAAAACCTAACAAACAGTAAGCAAAAAGAACTAGAGGAAACAATGGGATTACAAATCGTGAATAAGATTAAATATCTAGGCATTTGGCTAAGACCAAGAACATTATCCCTGAGGGAGGACAATTATACCAAATTATTACAACAAGTTGGAAAGGATTTGGAAAAGTGGAACAAAATGCAAATTTCACTATTAGGTAGAATAGCAACGATTAAGATGAATGTCCTACCCAAAATCTTGTATTTATTTCAAACAATTCCGGTACTATTGGACAATTTTTTTAAAAAAGAAGTGGACAAAATCGTTATGAAATTCATTTGGGCAGGAAAAAAAACGAGAATAAAGAAAATCTACTTACAAGACAATAAAAGCAAAGGTGGCCTTGGTCTCCCTGCCTGGGAGACCTACTACAAAGCAACAGCACTAGTGTGGATAAAAGACTGGATTAAATTGGAAAACAAAAGAATTTTAACACTCGAGGGCCATGATTTGGAAATAGGATGGTACATATTTTTGTGGAACCCAAATAATAAGAGTCATTCATATTTCTCCAGACACACTTTACATAAATCCTTGATTAAAATCTGGATAGATATTAGAAGAAACCATTATATTAAAATCCCGAGGTGGCTTTCAACAATGGAGGCGATGTTCCATCCTAACAAGATGAACATTAGCAAAAAGCTTAAAATCCACTAAATACTAGACAATGAGAGATCACTTAAATTGATTCAGGTGCTAAAAACCCAAGGAATATTTATTGACAACTGGTCCTACTTTCAAATAAAAATGAGACATATTAGGGATGCAAAAGAACATGGATTTGAAACAAAAGATACTCAATTAGATAAAATACTCCTGAGCCCAGAAAAAAATATGATATCCAAATTGTGTAATTTTTTACTAGAGCATGAATTAGCTAAGGAAATTGTGAAAGGACCAATGTTATCTTGGGCAAAAAACTTTGGTAATAATATACATTATTATTATATTATTATATATATGTAGATTTGGATGATTGGGAGGGAATTTGGCAAAAAAACTTTACATTAACAAAATCAACACCATATAAGGAAAATTTATATAAAATGATATATAGATGGCATCTGGCACCTTCTAGATTAGCTAAAATATATCCAACAGCAAATCCAAGCTGTTGGAAATGCAAAGAGAAACTTGGTACCTATTTCCATCTTTGGTGGACATGTCCCGAGATTAAAAAATATTGGACAAGGATAAGAATATGGCTAGAAGAAACTATCGAATGTGGACTGGAGTGGAAACCGGAACTGTTCCTCCTGGGAATGATTAAAGGGGAATACCCTCCCAAAGTGAGATTTCTGATCATCTACTTATTAACAGCAGTGCGAATTTTTTTAGCGCAATATTGGAAAAGGCCCGATGTACCACCAATACACATTATTATTCAAAAAAGCTACGAATGCACCAAAATGGAGAGGCTCACGCTCAAATTAAATGAGAAGGAAGAGTCAGAGTATTATTTGGTATTGATAAGTGGTACAGCTGGGTAGAGCGCAAGAAAAAAGGTATACAGGATAAATGAACCCAGGACACATACTATAGTTGTATATATTGAATGTATAATAACAACGATTTCAAGCTTCTTGTCTATTATATAAATATTATGAAGGCTCCATTCAATTAACCAATACAGTTATAATCCAATAGTAATAGCAGAATAATATATTATTCATTAACTAATATGTAATTGATAAGGGATAAGGAATACTTGCCAATGATTACTTACTACTGTTTACTATGAGCTATCAGTCTTAATATCAAATGTAATAGAAAGAAATACGTTTATTGTTCTAGTTATATTTTTTTTATTCTTACATATTTGTATGTTTGTTTGTGTTTTAATCTTTTGTAAATAAAGTCTATTTTAAAACTCAAAAAAAAGGGTAAGGAAATAAAATAATTGACAATGTGGATTCAAAGAGATCTTAGATCTGATTGAAAAGCAATCCAATGCACATTATAATCCTAACTAGCCAACACAATTAACACCAAAATATTAAACATTAAATCAGCATTGTCTTCAAATGTTTGCTTCCGGGAACAGAAGTATTCAACATACACAAAACCTTATCTTATCAATTAAAACTGAGAAGGCTCTCTGGAAACAGGCAGAAGCAGCACCAAAGTCACCCCATTTTCTCCATATACTTAAATTATACTTCCTCTCCAGTGAGGAATCGTTCCAGCTTCTCTACAGCCCCAAATAATTTTAGCCATCAAATACAATATAGAACACCAAAGTGGCCTTGGTTTCTACACTCCTACTAGATTTATCTGCCTCCCCGGGCAGAAACCTAACCTTCTCAACAGTCAGACTATGGGTCGCTCACATGATTACTTCTTATGTAATTTTTAGGTAAAATCTTGGGACTTGGGGGCAAAAATCCTAGCAATTATAGAATTACAGAACGGGAATTATTTCTCTATGGTTTATTGCTGTAATTAAAAGGCATTACATGATGATCTACTATATAGTATTTTGCATTTGTATTTAACATGCACATACCTAAGCATAGTACGATTTCTATGTATTTAAGAAAATTAGATAAGTTTTGAAATAATTTGAGCCAGCAGAATTATACATCCCGTTGTCAGAAATAACTGTTCAGATTGATTCTTGTTCATATTTCCAGGAGCATTTTCTTGTTGGCATATTGTATTAACAATCCAGCTATCTGTGAAAATCATCAAACAAATACTAACTTTGCAGCCATCTCTCCTTACGCATCTTCATTTTTTCTTTCTTAGACATTACTTTTTCATGTTCATCTGAAACACAAGAGAAATAATGTTTCTTTGCATCAAGGAACAATATATTCTCTATATGCACTTCAATTTTAAATCTGGGTTTTGGAGAGACAGTATTGCAAACAAATGTAAACAACTGAACAGAAAATAGAACATATCAAACAGTCCACATCTTACTGTCTCTGCAGTAAATAATAAAGAGGACTTAAAATATGCTAACTTCACTACATAAATATCATGATTGGGGTGCTAGTCCATAAGCACCCAATTACTGGATTATAGGTGATATCTTTAATAAGGTTTAATGTGAAAACAAAACATAAATTCTAAAAAAGATAACTCTTATTGTAATTGCTTATTGTAAAAGTGATAGAGACCAATATCCCTTCCAGATGCAGAAAATCCAGTGTTTCAATTCAGAAAGGAGATACTGATCACAGAACATGCACCTCATAGTGTGCCCCTTACAAGTTTATCTTTATTCATTCCTGATAGTATAGGGAAAAGGCAAATATCCCCCTTCCAATATGTACTACATGAATGGGATATAAATGGCTACCTCAGACTGAACTAGGATGTTTTAAGAGGGCACAAAACTCTAGAATTTTGTGTTATTTATCCTCAGAAGCAAACTGCAACATTCTTAATAAACCTCTAATTTGCATCCTTTTGCTTGCTCAGGTATCAAAAAAGAAAGCTTGCAAAATGGATTTCAAACATTGGTAAATCAGTCTTGCCCTTTCCTGATATTATTTTTAGCACTGTTATTATCTGCTGCATGAAGAGGACACTGACAACCACCAAAGCTTGCTCTTTTTTTCAGTCAATATTTGTGAAATGGCATTTTCATTAGCAACTTATTGGATTTCCGAACTGTGTACTCTTCCAGTTGAATGCTTCAGCATATATTCTGATTTGGCATGGACAGATATGTGTGAAGGGCAAGGTCACTGAGCTTTAATATAAATTCAAAGCAACAAAATGAAAGCCATAGCTTGTTTCAACTACATTATAGTCCAGGAGTGTCAAACTCAATTTCATTGAGGACCGCATCAGAATTATGGTTGCCCTCAAAGGGCCAGTTGCATGGAGGACTATGATGACTCACAGCAGCCAGGTGGATGTGGCTGGGTGGTCACAGTTGGGATGCTGCAACTAGGTGGGCATGGCTGGTTCAATGCCGCTCACTGGGCACGACTGACTTGGGACTGGGTTGGGACAGAATAAGTCACCTGGCTCACTCAACATGGGGACAATTTGGTGCCTCACAAGCTCGCCTCCCCAAACTGCTGGTACGTGCACACACACACACACGCACACATTTTCTAAGTTTGGGTACTTTTATCCAGAGAGGAAGGAGAGGGCCTTCTCCCTAAGCCCAGGCATGATTGGCAGTTTGTAAGCTCATGGATAAAAGTCTCCAAAGTTGGAATGGTGCATGTGTGTGCGTGTGCATGCGTGTGCACAGCACAACAAAGGTGATGTTGTTCTCCCAATCCCAGACACCATTGACATTTCCCTGTCCAGTGTTCTCTCCCAGGAGGCAGAGGGAAACTCTGCTGCATGTAGAAGTGCGGAGGAGAAAGTTTGCAGCAAGCTCCCTGCTCCTGCATGAGGGAGGCTGGCCATTCTCTAAAGGGAATCCCCATTTCCAATCGTGTATGATAAGAATGCTGGCTTGTTGGAGCAGCCTTCCATCCTCCTCTCCAGAGATCTGTCAAGGGAGAAATTGGACTCAAGAGGAAACTGCTTCCTGCAAACTTTTTCCTCCATACTTCCACATGCAGCAGCATCGTCCTCCTGCTCCTGGGAGAGGGGACAAGGCTGGGAGCAGGAAATCCAGAGATCTCCAGCAGAAGAAGGCAAGACCAGGGTGAGCACCAAAGCATCATCCACCTGGCGCCTCATTGTCCTTCTCAGGCCACGCGGAGGACCCCTGGATGGCGGTGCAGGCTGCCCGGCGCAGGCTGCCCAGAAGGCAAGCACCTAGCCCGGCCCTGGAGTTCCCAGGCTACCAGGACCCCACAGCCCAGCCCAGCTCCTCACTCACCTTCTTCTCAAGACTACTGCTGCTGTGCTTACTCTCCTTGCCAGGTTGCTCATGGTGGGTGCAGGAGGGCAAAGTGCATGGGTCAGAGGGACACCCACTCCAAGCAAGGAGACATGGCTTTATAAGTGAAGCATCCTCAAGCGATAGGATGGGAGACCACCAGGAGAGGCCAGGCGGAGGGGACAAGGTGATAGCAAAAGGGCAGCAAGGCTGCTGGTGGCCAAGTGCTAAGGCAGGACTTCCCTCACATTCTAATCTCTCTCCCTCCCTCCCTCCCCCCAGACTCCATTTTTGCTGGCAGAGGGCTAGCAAAACAAACTAAGAACAAAACAAAAGGAGAAATGTTTCCTCTTTTGCATTTGAGCATGCAAGAAGGAGAAGGGACAAAGAAAAAGAAGGAAAGATGGGAAAAGAGCAAGGGAAGAAAAAGGAAAGAGGGGAAGGAAGAAAGGAGAATGAGGAAGGGAAGAAGGGAGGGATTATAATTAGAGGGAGAGAGTATCTAAGGGAAATCCTGCCTTAGCACTTAGCCACCACATGGACCCTCGACACGAGTGACATTGAGCTGACCACACCCACTCCAGCCTCCCCAAGTTAAATACAACCCTGATGCAGCTCTCAATGAAATCAAGTTTGACACCCCTGGTCTACAGAACTGAAACCACCATTTTATACTATAATTGATTATATTGCCATGTCACTATAATGGCTCCATGTAGCTTTCATTTAAGTTTTAGAATTAATAAGTGGGCATGTGGAGACAGGAAAAATAGAATACTCTCCATATATATACACACACACACATTCCCCCCAAAAGTTGTCTGCTCCTGCTGAATAACATTTTCCTAACCTGGGCACGAGGAGTTCTAGCTGTGGTTGTTCAATCCATAGAACTATGGAGGGAACCAAGACTGGGGAATCCAGCCTTACATTGGACAATGCAAAAGGAATTGAAACATTAGTAGGAGGGCATTAGCCTTTCAAAACTGGCAGAATGTTGAAAAACTTGGTGAATATTGAGAGGAGATGAGCTTTTGGAATGGAGCAAGCAGAACAAGAAGAAATATCTAGAGAAGTTATGTTCAAACTCTTTTCAACTTTTTTTCCTCCTGCACTATATGATATATTGCCTGTTCCTTTCTTTTGCATGGGCTGGGCCTTTTTCCATCTGTCATTTGTGGTCACATGGTCAGATTTGTTCCTATCTAGTTCACACTGATAGCGTTGACGGTATAAGAGCAGGAAGGAAAGGAAGAAGTTCCACTACATAAACAAAAGTCTGTTCCATAATATTGACAGTAGCCTGTAAATTCATTTTACAAATATTTTTTCCTTCTTGAAAGGCCTGGAAAATATTTTGCTATTAATTATTAAATATGCAAATGAAAATCGAGATTACCCAAGCTTAAAATGATCAGTAACTTTATTAGAATCAACAAGGACATTAAGGGATGTCTAGTTCTCCAGAACCTTTATCAGTCAAAATGTAAGAAAAGCAAAGAATGAAGAAGCGAATACACTTTTTAAAAAATTGGCTACATCTGGGATGTTACAGCCTCTGTTGCTTTAAACTCAGACCTAATGATATCTATATACAATGTTATGTTCTAAGACCTGACTGTTTTATTTCCAAAAATGTGAGCCTCATGAAAACAATTCATTCTGTAATCTAGTTACCATAGAAATTGCAAAATATTAGTATTGAACGTAATAAATGTTTGACTCAAATGTTAGGAGTTTAAAAAAGTTATTTTAGAGGGTAGATTTGAGATTCTTGAAATAGCAACTTTTAGCTCATAAAAGTTCTGAAAATTATACAAGATAAGAGCTAATTGTTTTGTAAAAGTGTAAATAATTTTAATGACTGAAAAGTAATAGATTGGAGGATGCAAGTTTCCCAACAATTAAGGCATCCATACCACAGTGAATTAGTTAAATAGTATTACAGAGTAATACTGTACTGGATTATCAGTACTATAAGAACAGTTGTCCATAAACTCTGTCTTGAACTAAAAGCAGACAAGCATATATAAGAAAACTTTTTGGGGGGGGGGCGGGGGGGGATATCATATTAGCAAGAATGACATGCTGATCTTCTAGCTGCTCATGTCTAAGCACCAGAAGGTAAAAAATCTGTATTCTTTTAAATATAGAGCATTCTTGGATTACTTTCTAAATTTTACATAGAAATCCTCTCTTGCAAGGGACAGGAAGCACCACAAGATACTTACATAGTGTGTGCGTATCTGTATGCATGTGTATATTTGTAGATAGACAGGTAAAGTGAGGAACAGTTTAACAAATAACAGCAACTAAGAATTTATTGAAAGTTAAATAATTTTACAACAGTCATTTTTGCAAGTTGTTGTTTAGGAAAAGATTAGCCTAACTCAGGGGTGGGATACTACAGGGTTAACTACCGGTTCAGGATTTACAAGCTTCCCTGCCTGCAATCATCATCAGCTGCCTGCAGAGAAGCAGCCTTTGAAACAGGCCTCTTTTCTCGCTTTTCTAACTGCAGCTGTGCCTCCTTCGGCAGCTATAGTTGAAAAATCAGGAAATAAAGATCAGGTAAGAGCTCAGGTGGGTGGGAGGGCAAAAACAGCAGCAGATATAGAACCCATAGGTCCTATGTCTGCTGCTCTTCAGAGCTACCAGTTCTACAGAGGTGGACAGAACCGGTAGAAACCCACCCCTGGCCAAACTCCATTATTACACTAAAAATACAGGACATTAAACAAATCAGCAGTAAGTTTTTGAACTGCAGAGTTTTCCATTCTCTTCTGAGCAATTTTGACATAAATGTACTTCGTACGTAGTCAAGAGAGGGAAGAGTATTATGAGCAAAAAACCCACAAAGATAGACTTTGAGAACTCCAGAGTGTTCCCAACTTGAGTAAAATGTGTGCTTTTGGAAGCAAGCGCTGATTTAAGTTTGGGAGATGAACTAGATCCAGTTCACATGCCCTGACAGGATCACATCACGGACAAGTCTTAATGGGGAGAATTCCAATCCCCTGAGATCATCTATTTCTCACAAAGTAGAGAAGCGGCCAAAGAATCATTGTTATCATGATGTTAAGCATGAAGTATGCATTCTGTTCAATATGAAGCTATTTCCACTTCTATCCCTTAAATTTATCCATTTCAAATCAAATCAAATTATTGTCATTACAGAAGACATATTTTATCCATTTTTACATTCTTACTCATTGCCAAAGACATGTGTAAAGATGCTAAATTCTTACCTTTTATGACTGAAACAGGATTCTTTGAATCAGTGTCCAACTTCTTCACTAGAATTTTTGGATCAATATTCACCCCAGAAAAAATGTCTGATGTTAGAACTCCCTTACCCTAACAACAAAAATAAAGATGAGATATAGCCAATGTTTAATCATTTTTTCCATTTTGATATTCCTTTAAATATCATGTTTACCGAAATCCAATCTATAATATGCAAACACTGCTAGTGTTTTTTGCAGAACTTATAATACTTCAAATCACTTGGTATCTTATTTTATGTAATCACTACCCTGTTCTTTAAGCTGATTATTTAGTATATTTAGCTTATTAACTTATACTGTTTCCCTGAAAATAAGACTCAACCAGAAAATAAGCCCTAGCATGATTTTAAGGTGCTCTGGATATAAGCCCTACCCCCCCAAATAAACCTGTTAAGATTGTCAGCCCTCGGGGGGGTGGCCAGCACTGGAGGCAAGCACACAGCGATCAATGATGTCCAGCAGCAGCCGCAGCCCACACAGCACAGGTGAGTCCAAACACTGTGACTGCCGGCCTGGCCCTCCAAGCAGCAGACAGAGGCAGAGGCACGGGAGGAGGCATGAGATCCGGCCTGCCATTGCAACCGTGGGCAAGCAGACAGAGGGTGGGATGGAATGGGCAGGTGACCATGGGAGGCTTTCCTTGTGTGTGCAGTGGGGCTGGAGGACACACAGGGCACCCAGGAGTCATGGCATGGCACCATCCCCGCCTTGCTGCCTACCTCACCTGTGCAACCCTGCAACCCATCCTGGAGCCTTGAGCTGATCGGTGGCTGGAGAGGTGGGTAAGGTGGCTTCCCAGTTTTTAACAATCAAAGAGAACTGTTCTGGGGAGAAGCAGGGAGATCTTATGTGCTTAGTTGCTGTGCAACTTAGCACATAAGCAGGAAACCCCAGCTCTAAGCGGTCATGCCTGACAATGACTTTCCTCTTTGCGTGCCCATGGTGCTCTGTTGCAAGGCAAGGTAGGTAGCAAGGCGGGGATAGTGCCATGCCACAGCCCCTGCACACTTGGCCTCTGCCATCCAATGGCATCTTCCAGCTCTGCTGCACATGTGAGATGAAGCTCCCACGGCTGGCCACCACTCCATCCCACCGTCTTTGCTTGTCCACAGTCGCAATGGGACAAGTGGCTGTGCAGTGCATCCAGCGCGCTGCATCGCATACCTCTCCCGCCAAGCCTCTGCCTGCTGCTTGGAGGGCTGGCCAGGCAGTCCCAGCGGCGGACTTATTGTGAGTTTATCCCTCAAAAAGTTATGGAACAGGCTTTAATACCTCTATAACAGAGGTCTCATTCTCGCGGCCCGCAGGCCAATTGCAGCCCGCAGGACGATATCCTGTGGCCCCCACCATGATATGAAAGTATAATATTAGTGCGGCCCGCAGTGGGAATGGACCTCTGAAGGAAGTCCTGTCCACCGTTCCTCATCATGGCTGACATTTGGTGCTAGGCTAAGCTACACCAACTTCATGCACACTACGCTGTAACAACAGTGTGGCGGATGACGAACAGTCCAGTAGCAGTCGGCTTTTTTTGTGGTTGCCATTCCGGTACTTTCTACCATCAACAAATGCCATGATCAAACGCAGAGAAAGGCGACTGCTACCGGGCTGTTCGTCATCCGCCGCACTGTTGTGACAAGTAGAAGCAGAAATGACGTCACGCGTTGAGACGTTCTCCATGCGTCGCTAGCTGGCTAAACACTTCTATGAAACGTGGAACAAGAGCGACACCAAGTGGAATAAACTAAATTTTGTCACACCCTCATCATGTCTTTGTCAAAGCCAAAGCCTGCAGTGAAGAGAAAGATAGGTGACGAGCACAGACAATTTCAGCAAAGGTGGGAGACGCAGTATTTCTTTGTTGAGCACAGGGGCATCCCGACATGCCTTATTTGCACTGAAAAAGTTGCAGTGCACAAGGAATACAACCTGAAATGTCATTATTCAACTAAACATGCTGAGGAATGTGCAAAGTATCAGGGGGATGAGAGAGCCAACCGGGTTGCCAGCCTTAAAACATGTCTAGTGAGGCAACAAGATTTCTTCAAGAAAGCAACCAAAGAGAATGCTGCAGCAGTCGAAGCTAGCTATATGGTTAGTGAGATGATTGCTAAGGCGGGAAAACCATTCACAGAGGGCGAGTTTGTAAAAAAATGCATATTAGAGGCTGCAAGTATAGTTTGTCCGGAAAAGAAAAGTCAGTTCAGCAACATCAGCCTTTCTGCCAACACAGTGGCAGAGCGCATTTCTAACCTGTCAAGTGACATTTATCATCAACTGTGTGAGAAAGCCAGACGTTTTGATGCATATTCAGTTGCTCTTGATGAGAACACAGACATAACTGACACTGCTCAGCTCACAATTTATGTCCGTGGCGTTGATCGCAATTTTGCTCAGAGTAATTTCAATGCATGGCCAGACCACCGCTCATGAGATATTTCGCCAGCTGTGTGATGCCATTGAGAATGCCGGCTTGCCATGGAACAGGTTTGTTGGAATAACAACCGACGGAGCGCCATCAATGATGGGGAGGAAAAATGGACTGGTGGCACTTGTTCAGAGAAAACTTGAGGAGGGTGTAGAAGAGGCTATTGCTCTGCACTGCATTATCCATCAGCAGGCCCTTTGCAGCAAATGCCTGAAGTGTGACAACGTGATGTCTGTTGTTGTGAAATGCATCAACCACATCAGATCCAGGGGCTTAAAGCACAGGAGGTTCCGTGTTTTTTTTAGAGGAAATGGAGTCAGAATATGAAGGTGTGCTCTATTTCGCCGAGGTACGTTGGCTCAGCAAGGGAAATGTCTTGAAAAGATTTTTTGAACTGAGAGAAGAAGTGAAAGCCTTCATGGAACAGGATGGGATGGCTGTTTCCGAGTTGAATGATCAGAAATGGCTCATGGACTTAGGACTTTTCTTGTCGATATCACACGTGGGCTGAATGTACTGAACAAGAAGTTACAAGGCCAGGGGCAGCTTGTCAGTGCTGCCTATGACAACGTGAGAGTATTCTGCGCAAAACTTGTTATGGAAAGCCCAGCTCTCTCAGACAAACCTTTGCCATTTCCCAGCATGCAAGGCACTTGTGGATGCAGGCACACCATTCAGTGGTGAGAAGTAAGTTGATGCTATTTTGAAGCAAGAAGCAGAAGGAATTTGATCACAGATTTGCAGACTTCAAGACGCACAGAGCCACTTTTCAAATTTTTGCAGACCACTTCACTTTTGATGTGCAAGATGCCCCTCCTGTGCTTCAAATAGAGCTTATTGATCTGCAATGCAACTCTGACCTCAAGGCCAAATTTAGGGAGGTGAATGGAAAAGCAGACAAGCATGGGCAATTTTTGAGAGAATTGCCCCTCAGCTTCCCTGAACTTTCCCGAATGTTCAAGCGGACCATGTGCCTTTTTGGGAGCACATATTTGTGTGAAAAGTTCTTCTCCACCCTGAACTTTAACAAGTCCAAGTACAGGTCCAGACTTACTGATGATCATCTTCAAGCCATACTGAGGGTCTCAAGTGCCTCCTCTCTCAAGCCAAATGTGGCTCAGATATGTGAGAGGAAGCATTGTCAAGTCTCTGGCAGCAAGGAGTAAGCTGGAGAAGCCATGTTCTGAGGAACTGTTCATGATCTTCATTCAATGTTCCATTCATGTGTTCAGGACAGTTCATGTATTGGAGAAATCATTAACTGTTGATGACATTTGAGGATATTTTTTTAACAACATTTTTTGTGGAATCCCTTATGCGACCCAGCCTTACCCAGACTCTGCCTCCAGCGGCCCCCAGGTAACTTGTGTTTGAGACCCCTGCTCTATAAGAACATTAGTTTGTTTGTTGGGAGTACTTTTTCTTTTCTTTCCTCAAAATGTCATTTTAATTAAATTGATATATATGAGGCTGCTGTTTTTGCCATTTTATTCAAGAATGCAAGAATCAAAACAATATCACTCTTGTTGCTATAAAAAATGCAGCTTAAATGAAAAACAACTTGATTTATTTTCTTTTTTAGACACAGGAATTACTTTTTAAAATCAGCCTTTCTCAGACTGTCAGCAGCAAATGAAACAGCAAACTGAAAATTGGTTGAACATGGAACATAAATCATAAGGCTGGTAGGGAGCTCAGAGATCTTCTAGTCCAATCCTGCTCAAGGCAAGAGACTTCACATCATCTCAGTCAAATGGCTGTCCAGTACATTTTTTTAACATCTCCAAGTGATGGAACTATAGGAGGCAAGCTATTCCATTGATTAAATATTCTAACTTTCAGGAAATTTCTCCTTATTTTCACAATAAGATAATATCTTATACATATTATATGCATAGATAATTCCCAACTGCAGTTCCAGTTATGGATCAGGTCTTAAAGTTTTTTAAGGATATTTGTTTGTTTCTGGATATATTTTCCAGCATACACTCGTGAAATTTCCTGTGCCAAATAAACACTACATTGATAAAAGGCTGCTTTGCTTTCCAGTCTTCTGAAAGGATCTCATATCACCATCTGGTGGAGAATCCCTATACTGTACATTTTGTCTCCAGTATTACCAAAAAATGGGAGTCACAATCTTGGAAAATGGTTAATAAAAGAAAGTTTTCCATTGACAATGGGATGGAAATAAAAAAAAAACTTTTTGCTTAAGCTTGGACAGGTAGGAAAAACTGCAACTTATCTAATTTTGTAATATACCTTTTTGGGACACATAATGTAAGGAATAACAATGGAGCTATACTGAACTTAACTGAGGCTGTCGCCATTATATCCTGATTGTATATTGATGATTGGTGACTAAAGCAAAGTTTCAATAAGAACCAAGTCCTTTGCTTTTTTTAAAAAAAAAAACACAACTCCTTAAAAAGTCAGATTAGACAGAGCTTAGTGTACACCAAGGTACCTATCTCATATTCTCATATTAAGATGCCACATTGCCAATCTCTTTTAAACCAGGATCCCCCAAAGTAATCAATATGAACACCAAAGGATCAATGGAAGTATCCAAGGGGTCGATAAATCCCTGGGAGCCAACAAGTTAATAAATGATGGGAGATTAATTGGAGCCAATCCTTTGGGGGGTCTCTGCAGACCCCTCTGTACAGTGGTGGGATTCAAAAATTTTTACTACTGGTTCTGTGGGCGTGGCTTGGTGTGCATGACAGGGGAAGGATACTGTAAAATCTCCATTCCCTCCCACCCCACTAACCTGCTTTCCAGCTCCATTCTCCTGTGCAGGGCAACAAAAGAAGACCCAGCCGATCAGCTGGGACTCAAGAGGCAGAGAATAGATGGGGTGGGACCAGTCAGAGGTGGTATTTGCTGGTTCTCAAAATTTCTCAAAACTACTCAAAATTTCTGCTACTGGATCTCCAGAACTAGTGAGAACCTGCTGAATACCACCTCAGCCTCTGTAGAGCTCCATGGCAGTCCCTAGTTTTGTTTTATTTATTTATTTATTTATTCATTCATTCATTAAACGATTATTAGATAACAGGTATAAGTATAAACATAGTTATGAATATATGAAATGGATATGTACAAGAAAAATAAAAAGAAACAATAGAACAGGGAAGTAGGCACGTTCGTGCTCTTATGCACGCCCCCTTACAGGCCTCTTAGGAAAGGGGCGAGGTCAATAGTAGACAGTCTAAGGTTAAAGTTTGGGGGGTTTGGGGAAGAAACCACAGACTCAGGTAGAGTATTCCAAACATTGACCACTCTGTTGCTGAAGTCGTATTTCCTGCAATCAAGTTTGGTGCGATTAACCTTGAGTTTGTATCTATTGTTTGCTCTTGTGTTGTTGTAGCTAAAGCTGAAGTATTCATTGACAAGTAGGACATTGCAATATATAATTTTATGTACTATACTTAGATCAAACTGAAGGCAGCGTAGTTCTAGGTTGTCTAGGTCTAAAATTTCTAAAAGTCTGGTGGCATAAAGTATCCTAGTCCCTAGTTCTTAAAGTAAGATGACTAGTGTGAAAAAAATCACTCCCAGTGAGAGTGGCTTTGAGTTGTCTCCATCAGTACTATCAGTAACCTATTGTTACTGGCCTGTTTTACCTATTTGTTATAGTTAGTATCCGTTAAAGTAGTATTTATACATTTATTTTCACATTATATTTGGGTGTCCATGAATAATCTGAAATTCCACGAACAAGTCAATGAGCTTCAGAGCCTTAAACCATGATGGCACCTTCACCAAAGAGCCAGCAAATTGCAAACAGGGAAGGCAAGTTATAAGATATGCCCCATTAAATGAGAGAACGGCACTGAGCAGCAAGCCGTGTTGTCACCTAAAAAGTCCCCCAAGAAGCACGTGTCTCTTGCGCGCCTGTCTTCCTCTTTTCACCGCTTCCTCCTCGCACCACCACCACCACCACCACCAACCTTTCCGGGGTTAGCGCTGAAGGTTAGCGCGGCCGCCGAAAGCACCTCCTCGCCCCCACTCTGCTGCGGCTGTGACGGCTTCGGCGCGGGCTGGTGGAGCCTCCTCCGCCTTACTATTTTCCCCACCATCGCGAGCCAAGAGGGACCAGCGCGCGACGGTGAAGGAGCTGTAGGGGGGGAGGGGAGGGGAGGGCAGGCAACAGGATTCGGACCACGCGCTCGCCGGCAGTTCCCCCCCCCGGAAGTGCGGTGCGTGCGCTGTAAAGGCCGCCCCCGCACCCCCTTTTTTTTTACGGCCACGAGGGGGCGGCAGCTGCTGCTCGTTCCGCGCTGCCGTTTCCTTTACGAGTCTGCCGGGCGGGATTCGTATTTTGAAAGCGATTCTGGCCACTTGAGGTGTTGAAATCAGCTGACACAAGAGAGGCGCGTGTGCAAAGCGGGGGGTGGGAATGTTTTCAGTCTCCGACAAAGAGACCGATGCAGAACTGAGCAGCAGAACTTTAAAGCGAACAGGCGAAACTTGCTTTCCCCGAGACTTAGTGATGATTCCTTAGTGATACATTCTGTTCCTTTTTCTTTTATCGGAGGCAGGTGCGGGGGGGGGGACGGGGGGGGCTAAATTAAAAGTTGGCACTCAAAAACATTGTTAAAGTAAAATCGATGACAGTAAAATAGAGGGATGAAAATAATAGTTAAGAACTATAACTTAGTATAACTTGTTCAATATTTTATTTAAACCCCCCCAAACCCAAAAATTCTCCTCAAGTTAATAGCTTTGAATACTTTCTAACTTGCCAAACTGACCAAAGGCCTGTAGCTTTCATAAAATGAAGGAAAGTTTCCACGTTCCACTACAAAATCTAGTCCAAATGTCTGATTTCTAATTAGGTATGTATAATAAAATATGTTGGATAATAAATTCCAACTTCAACAGGAGCAATTTTTTAGACAAAAATCTATATGGTATATCCAAATATGGTAAGAACCCCACTTGCTAACCGTTCATGCTAAGTAAACGTGTTATTCATATAACAGTGGAAAGTATAGTAAGTGTCTAAAATCTTTATCTTTTAGTTCTCTCCAGAAGTTCCAGCCATATAAATGTTTAAATTAACCTATTGGGGCACCTGGAAGAGAGTTTGACAGGAAAGGGAACTTCACGAAGACAGTAGTGTCACAAAAACAGGAAAAGCCCAAGGGGAACATCAGGTCAGCCATAAAACAAACTTACATAGGAAAAGGAATCAAATAAAAAAGGTATTAAAGAATCCATATAGGCAAAAGCCTAAGTAATTAAGAAAACTAGACAAATAAGAAGAGGAAACAAAAAGATAATTTAGAAAACCCTTACAAACACAGGACATACCAAATAAGCAAAGCAAACAGACAAAAGACAAAATATAAATTACAAAAGGGACATACAGGAGATTGCCTCAGAACAAATATGAAAAACTATCTTAAAGCTAAAAGAGATTAGAGAAAACCAATAATACAATCTGGCCACGCCACCGAGTTTGCCTTCTGTACCCCGCGGAGTTTGCCCTCCAGCAGGAATAAAGATAAACTCAAACAGGATTTGAAACATTAAGCACAAATACAAACATTCACATAAAATCAACTTACAAAGGGAGAAAAGGGTATAAAAAAACCAGGGACTTACCATAAGAAACTAGCTAGCCCAGGAACGCAGACTTCTCGCTGTTCCCTGCCTTCCTGAAAAATAAAAAGATCCAGCTTTCAAGCAGTTGTCCGTATCCTTGCGCTGGAGCTCTCCCAGCGGGAAAATCAAATCCCCGAAAGAAAGGCATTTTGACACCTTTCAACATGACTTATTGCAGGGAACAAATCTGCACATCATCAATAAGACTGCATTCTTCATTTCAAAGGCCATCTCAAAGAGGACAGAATCCCTATACCAGATTGAAGTTAACTGTAGGGATGATGTTTTATTATGAATTACTATATTTTTGGATTTGTTTTGGTATCTATTTGCATTTTTGTATCAGATTTATAAATTTGATACTGTTTGCCTATAATAATGTCCTCTCCTCCTCCTCCATTATCACTAAGATCATCTATTCCAGATAGAATCTGCCCACCAATGTGTTAACCGAGATGGAATACACTGAATTCCTAGTCACTAAGGAATTAGGAAGTGGGAGTTCTGTTGGATGGTCACAACTTCTCACTCTGGGAAATTACTTCCCAGGCCAGGATAGTGCTCATTCTTATTATTTTGTAAAGCAATACATATTTTCTTCTGCAGGGCCATTGTTGGGGAGAACTCTACTTAGATGGACAACATTACGATGATGTTTATCCATGTATTGTTCTGGGAGGGGAAATTGTAAGTTATTTAGCATCTCTGGTATATTTAGAATATTAAAAGGGATTTAATAAGTAAATGTGTGTAGCTGTGGATTTCTTTGTATGTTTGCATTTTGGGTTACTTAAAAAAAAACATTGACTTTTGCCTGGAAAGGATTGAGAATGTAGTTTTTCTGGAAGATTTGTGTCTTATACTCAATATCCTCTAAATCAGAATTACATTGGATTTTAAGCATTTCTATTACATTCTGATTTGGTTTTGAATTAATAAAAGTAATAATGTTTGTGTGTATATTATGAAAAGTTTCTATTTTTAAATAAGCTTCCCATTGTTTCATAACTTTTCATCTTTATTATACTTTTATTTTAATATGCAGGAACCTCATCATTATTACTATTTTTTTACTTGAAAACCACAACAAAAATGGAAAATGATCTGTGCAGCACACACTATACGCGCTCATACAGAAAATAATGTGAAAATTGTTCTCATTAGAAAATTAGAAACATTTCTCAGGAAACATTAAAGTGACAAACTCATTCTGCATTTCAAATTGCAGCATTGGTTTCCTGTTCCATTTGCAAATAATATTTTTTCCTCTCATGCAAACACTTCTCACCCTTCTCAAAAGTGTTGCAATGATAATAATTACTTGTTTTTGTGAGTTTGTTCCTGATTTTATTTTATTCTATCAAAACTTTTCAGACCCACAGATACTGAAAAATAAAACCACACAGAATGATAATTATAACCTCCAATGTAATTAATCTTAAAATAAACATGGTAAGAACATATCTCAAACAGATATATCTGGAGAATTGATGCATAGCCAAAGTTTTCTTTAAAAGAGCCTTATCATTTATTTGATCTTTTGTATCTTTTCTTAAACTTAAAATGAAATCTGAATATATTCATACAATTTACTAACTTCAATAAGTTTTTAAGATTACAGCTGGACTATATCATCATTTAGACCAGTGGTCTCCAACTAGTGGGCCAGGGACCATTGGTGGTCCACAAGAAAATTTTGGTGGTCTGCAGAGAAATGTCACCCCCAAAACAATCCAGGCTGCACAGGAACAAAAGGCTGCGCTGGCCACATGGCCCGCAGGAACACAAGGTTTGCATCGCTTACATTGTGAACAACATGAGGTAGTGAGGGGAGGGGGGAAAGGGCGGAGGGGGGGAACTTGCCCCACTCACCACATGTGCCTCGCCTCACTACTGGGCTGCTTCTTTCCACTTCTGCTTTTGGCTGCATGCAAGGAAAGCAGCAAAAGTCTTTCTTTCTCTCCCCCAAATTCTGCCAGAAAAGAGTCTTTGGGACCCTGCGAGGCATCCTGTTCCAAGAGGCTGTGCCGGCGCAACAAGTCTCATTTCTGGCAGTTCAGGGGAGAGAAAAAAAAAGGCTTCTGCTCTTTTCCTTGCATGAAGCCAAAAATTTCTTTCTCCCCCTGAGAACGGAGATGGAGACGCTATCCTGTGATCCCAAATAAAGAACGATTGATCGGTAGGAAAACGGGGTGGAGGATTTTCCTGCAGACTTTTGGGAGGGATTTTCCCAGGGTCTCTGGTCCGCTGGATTTAAAATGATGAGTTTGGTGGTCCCTGAGGTCCAAAAGGTTAGCGACCCCTGATTTAGACTGATCTCATAACATATTGATAAAGGTACCATCAAATTGTTGCTTTTTAAAAAAATTTTCTCAGAGAGTATTTTTTATTTATCCTAAATCAAGTCTGATTATAGGAATGAAAACCTACTTCAAATCCCCATTATATTTTAAAATCTTTGCCTCCTAATACACTCAATTAAATAATTAAACTTAATTGGGCACAAAACTCCATTTCTTTGTATTTACCATTTGACGTCTATTTCTTCATACTGCATTTTATAATACATACATGCAAAGGTCAATTTCAACATCAGTATATCCAATTTACATACAATTTCCACAGATGATAATTAAGCAAATGCTATGCATCTTGATATCATCATACAAATACCTGATTTCCCCATGAAAGAAGACATGTATTGCTGAGTTAAGGTGTGCAGGAAACAGACCACAGTAATAATGGGAAACTTAAACTATCCTGACATCAATTGGGAGAAAAACTCTGCACAAGTGAGATATCAAATAGGCTCTTGACATGCCTAGCTGACAACTTCATCATCCAAAAAGTGGAGGAGGGAACTGGACTTAATTCTTATTAATAGGGATGAAATGGTTGAAGGAGTAGAAGTAACAGGAAGTGGAAGCTATAGGAACTTTGTGAGAAAGTGACAATGTCATCCTAGAATTCATAATGTAGCTACAGGTAACTGGAATGTCAGACTAATGTTTAGATTTTAAAAGAATTGATTTAGCTAACTAAGACTGGAAAGGAATCATTGCCTAGAAATCCTAGAAGAAAACACAGTCCAAAATGCTTGGGAAATTATGAAAAAAGAGATAATAAATGCCCAAGCAAAAACAATGCAAGTAGTCCTTGACTTATGGCCCACAACTGAGTCCAACATTTCTGTTGCTAAGCAAGACATTGATTAACTCAATTTTGCCCCATTTTAGGACATTTCCTGCCATAGTTGTTCAATGATTCACTGAAGTTGTTAAGTTAGTAACATGTTTGTTAAGTGAATCTGGCTTCCCTATTGACTTTGTCAGAAGGTCACATTTAATGTCAAGAGTCTGAGATGATGATGTGACACAGAGATGTTGCAATGGTCTTAAGTGTTGAAAACAGTCATAGGTCACTTTTTTCAGTCTGTTGTAACTTCAAATGGTCACTAGAGGAATGGCTATCAGTCAAGAACTATCTGTATCAGAAAGAAAGAAAAATAAGAGACTCCATTGCTAACACCTAGGAAGATATACTCAAGATTCAGAAGCAGCTTGACAAATTC